ACCGAATAAATCCCTTCTAATTACTAATCATTCCTGGATAAAAGAAGATTCTAATGTTATGCTGTTCCAATAAATATAAGTGGCACTCAAACTAAATTTAAAAAAATTAGAATTTAGTATCTTGAAATTACAGCCAGGTTACATCTTCCTGAATGTTCTGTGTCTTCTCCAGCAAATTCTTGTGTCAGGAACGCCTTCTTGGTGAATCCTTCTATCAGGAACGCCTTCTGTCGAATTCTTTTGTTAGGAGCATTAACTATTTGTGCTGTAGGTACCTTTAATTTAGATGGAGCTTTACTCTAAGCCTTAGAGAGCTCTGAGAGAGCCAGTGATTCTTCCTTTTAGAGCTGAAAGCTGTTCTCTTGACAAATGACAGTTGGCTCTCCCCTGATTTTCCAAATGCTTGTATCTTTTATACCCAGATGACGTATCAATTTCTCAAAACAGGATTGGACCTATGTTGTTAAAACCATCAGATTTAAATTTAATTGGTTTTTGGTATCTAAGGAGCTAGTTTAAAATAATTGGCTAAATTCGAAAACCTGTTGTCTTGGTAAAAATGCTGTTTTCCTTGCTAGCAGTACAGCCTTTTGATACAAATGTTTCAATTCAGATGCTCTGTGCGCCTGTAAACCCACAAACCTTCTTTTTGAATCTCTAAACATAGAAAAAAAGCACATCATCTTTTAAAGCGATCACACATTGCAGTTTACAAACACCAAATTCTAACGTCCTGCCTTTCAATTCACAAGTACTCTACCTAACTTCACAACAGGCACCTTCCAGAATGAAAATGTGGTCTCTCGTTTTAAAATATAAGTAAACTATCATTAATGGCTGTCAAAGTATCAACAGAGAAGTGAAAATGTCACTGATCACTGCCATTCTAAATGTGACTAATCTCTTCTGCACATGTGTAAGTGTATTATTATGGCAGTGGCCCAGTGGTAATGTCATTAGCTAAATTCCACAGAGGTGGGATGAGAGTGACAGCCCTTGACATCAAGGCTGCATTTGACCAAGTGTGGCATCAAGGAACCCTAGCAAAACTGGAATCAATGGATATCAGGGGACAAAATCTCTGGTAGTTGGAGTCATATCTGACACATAACAAGATGGTTGTGGTTGTTGGAAGTCAATCATCTCAGCTGCAGCACATCTCTGCAGGAGTTCCTCAGGTTAGTGTCCTCGGCCCAATCATCTTCAGCTGCTTCATCAGTGACCTTCCCCTCCATCATAAGGTCAGACGTGGGGATGTTCGCCGATGATTGCACAATGTTCAGCACCATTCGCAACTCCTCAAATACTGAAGCAGTCCACGTTCAAATGAAGCAAGATTTGGACAATATTCAGGTTTGGGCTGACAAGTGGCAAGTGACATTTGTGCCACAAATGGCAGACTATGATTGTCTCTTATTGGTGACAATCTAATCACTGTCCCTTGACATTCAGTGGTGTTACCATCACTGAATCCCCCACTATTAACATCCTGGGGGTTATCATTGACCAGAGACTCAACTGGACTCATCACATAAACACAGTGGCAACAAAAGCAGGTCAGAAGCTACGAATACTGCGGCAAGTAACTCACCTCCTGATTCCTCAAAGCCTGTCTACCATCCACAAGGCACAAGTCAGGGGTGTGATGGAATTCTCCCCACTTGCCTGGATGAGTGCAGCCCCAACAACACTCAAGATGCTTGATGCCATCCAGGACAAAGCAGCCCACTTGATTGGCACTACATCCACAAGCATCCACTCCCTCCACCACCGACACTCAGTAGCAGCAGTTGGTACTATCTACAAGATGCACTGCAGAAATTCACCAAAAGATCCTCAGACAGCACATTCCAAACCCAAGGCCACTTCCATCTAGAAGGACAAGGGCAGCAGACATATGGGAACACCACCACCTCCAAATTCCCCTCCAAGTCACTCACCATCCTGACTTGGAAATATATCAGCGTTCCTTCACTGTCGCTGGGTCAAAATCCTGGAACTCCCCCCCTAATAGTATTATGGGTTAACCTACAGCTGGTGGACTGCAGCGGTTCAAGAAGGCAGCTCACCACCACCTTCTTAAGGGCAACTAGTGATGGGCGAGAAATGCTGGCTAGCCAGCGATGTCCACATCCCACAAATGAATAAAAAAAATGAAACGAGTAATGCAGAGCTTCCCTCACCCACCAGGATCTCTGGTGGAATTTGTATTTGATGAATGAATCTTGAATCGGAAGCTTGTCACAGAGACCATGAAAAATTATCGTTGATTGCAGCTTAAACCCCATTGGGGTTCATCAATGTCCCATTCAGGGAAGGAAATCTGTTGTCGGCCCACTTGTGGCATAGTGGTAGTGTCCCTATGTCTAGACGATGAGGCCCGGGTTCAAGTCCCACTTGCTCCAGCAGTATGCAATAACGTCTTTGAACAGGCTGATTAGGAAACAAAAGGCACAATAAAAGAATATACATATATTTATATAACATGGCTAAAGGCTGCTGAGGTGCAAGATCATGGTAAGTACTGAAAGAAATACAGAAAATTCTGGATAAACTCAGCAGGTCTGGCTGTATCTTTGGATACAGAAACAGGAGTTAACGTTTCAAGCCTGGACGGTTCTTTTTTAGAATATCTTCAGGAGTTCTGAAGAAGTCATACTGGACTCGAAATGTTAACTCTGCTTCTCTCTAAAGATGCCACCATGCAATGTGCCTTAATGACTACCACCCAGCGGCTCCAACCTCCATAATCATGAAGTGTTTCAAGAGGCTAGTCATGGCCAACATCGACTCTAGTCTCCCAGCCTGCCTCCACCCCCTTCAATTTGCCTACCGACATAACAGGTCCACAGCGGACACCATTTCCTTAGCCTTGCACTCATCCCTGGAACATTTGGACAACAAGAACATCTACGTCAGACTCCTGCTCATCAACCACAGTTCTGACTTCAACACCATTATCCCCTCCAGACTGATCTCAAAACTCAGGGACATAGGGCTTGACTCTACTTAATGTAACTGGATCCTCAGCTTCCTGACCCATAGACCGCAATCAATCAGTGAAGACAGACGATTGCACCTCTTCCATGATAACACTCTGCACACCACCTTCTGTAGTTTCATACGGTCCTGGGCAGAGCAATTATCGTATCATTGTGGGCCAAAGGGCCTGTACTGTTCTATGTTCTAACACTCAACACTGGAGCCCTCCCAGGGATGCATCCTCAGCCCCCTACTGTACTCCCTGTGCACCCATGACTGTGTTGCCAAATTCTGAATGATCACCATCTTCAAGTTCGCTGCCCACAGCACCATGGTAGGACAGATATCAAACAACGATGAGGCATAATACAGAAAGGAGATAGAGGGCTTGGTCACATGTTGCAATGATAACAATCTCTCTCTCAATGTCAGAAAAACTAAAAAACTGATCACTGACTTCAGAAAGAAAGGTGGAGAACATGCCTCCATCTACATCAACAGAGCGGACATTAACAGTGTGGAGAGCGTCAAGTTCCTCGGAGTGACAATAACCAACAACCTGTCCTGGACTTCCCAAATAGATGAAATGGTCAAGAAGGCACAACAATGCCTCTCCTTCCTCAGGCAGCTCAGGAAATTTGGCATATCCATAAGGACCCTCACCAACTTTTATAGATGTACCACAGAAAGCATACTGTCCGGGTGCACAACGGCCTGAAACGGTAACTGCTCTGCCCAGGACCATAAGAAACTACAGAAGGTGGTGTGCACAGCCTATACCATTACGGAAGCCAACCTCTTGTCCATGGATTCGATTTACATGGCTCGCTGCCGCAGAAAGGCTGCCAACATCATCAAAACCCCATCCCACCCTGGTTATGCTCTCGTACAACCTCTCTGTCAGGCAGAAGATACAGAATACTGAACACATCCAGCAGGTTCAAGAAAGCTTCTTCCTTGCCGTTATTAGACTAGTGAATGGAATGTCTAACTTTTGCTGATCTTGTTAATGGTGATCTTGCCTAGCGCTCATCCTGTGCGGTGTAACGTGTATGCCTTACTGTCCAACATTTTTTTTAACCCTATGATCCATACATCCTTGCTTACTATGATCTGCCTGTACTACTTTCAAACGAAGCTTTTCACTGTACTTAGACACACGTGACAATAAATCAAACCAAAATCGATGCTGCTAGACAATAGGTTTTTCTGGCATTCTCTGCATCTGCATTTTTTTTTCATTCATTCATTTATTCATAGTAAATACTAATTCCGTACTGATTTAAAAAATTGAAGAGTGCAACTCCCCAGATATACCTATATTTGCAGACAGAAACTTTTATTTGTGGAATAAACCCCACAGGCAACATGAAAGACAGGATTATCTGAATATGTCTATTATGCCATTATTACAGATATATGCAAAATGAATTGCCCACTCACATCAGTCAAGATATTCTTGCATGCACGTAAAACAAAGAGGAGCAAACCATGTATTTCTCCAACACACAGGACTTGACAATTACTGGACATCCTCTTGGAAATAAATAAGGATATCCTATAAAAACCGAAAGTACTGCAGATGCTGTAAACTAGAAACAAAGGCAGAAATTGCTAGAAAAGCTCAGCAGGTCTGGCAGTATTTGTGGAGGGAAATCCACAGATGATGCCAGACCTGCCGAGCCTTTCGAGCAATTTCGGTTTCTTGTTAAGGATACACTATTGTTAACTGCTGAATTATATTTATTTCCAATGTCCATTCCACAGGCCCAGAAGGTGAAAGCCCTGCTATCACAGATTCCCAATTGCTATGTTTTTGTGTATTTAAGAGTAACGGTGAGCGCAGACTACACACCCCCATCAGTGTCTTGTTCAGTCAAAACTCACACTGTGCTACTTTGGAAATGACCAGCTCCCACCGTGCTACACACTGTTTAATTTCCTACCTAACCCCCGCCGTGCCCTTTAGTTCTTTGTTTTTATTTTGACTGCCCCCAACCCACCCCCTTTCTTCTCACCTTCGCTTTCTCCTTCCTCCTCTTCTTCCTCGCCTCTTCGTGCTGCCTCGGCTTCTTCCAGGGAGGCGTCGCGGCTTCCCCGAGCAGCGAGCGCTCCTCAACCGGCGGGGCCCGGCTGGCGGCGGCGTGGCCTCGACCCTGGAGGAGGAAAACAACAACAACGACGACGACGGCAGCCGCCAGCAGCACGACGGCGGCGGAGGCGCCCGGCAGCAGGCGGAGAGCGGTCGCGGGTGAAGCACCGAGACCGGGATCAGAGAGACCGCCTCCGAGCAGCCACTCGCTGCCCCGCAGCAGCAGCACCTGCAGCCAGCGCGCGAGCGGCTCGAGCATGGCGAAGGAACAATGGGGCCGAGCGGGACGTTCCCCTGGGGAACGGGGAGGCCGTTGGACGACCTAACGTTCCAAATTGGAACCTGAGCCCGGGACAGGCCGGGCGCGCGCGGGGCGATGCTGCCCGCGAGCTGCCACACACAAACGCAAAAAAAAGCTCCACTTCCCGCAGGCGGAGGGAGAGAGGAAAGCAGAGCAAACGGGGTCTGCCCAAACTTTTCTTCCTGCAATGCCTCAACTTGTGCGTGCTACTGCACACATGACGGTGGCCATGAAAGATCAAACCGTCCAAAAACACAGTTTGCAAAAAAAAAATTTAAAGCAAAGGAGGGTGCAGTTCTGCAAAGAAGGGCTCACTGGACTCGAAACGTGAACTCTTGCTTTCCTCTCTCTCTCTCTCTCTCTCTCCACAGTTGCTGCCGGATCTGCTAAGCTTCTCAGCAATTTCTTTTCGCAAAAATAAAATCTATTACAAAGAGGGATGCACTTCCGAAAAGAAGGGCTCACTGGACTCGAAACGTGAACTGTGCTTTCTCTCTCCACAGATGCTGCCGAACTTCTCCGGCAGTTTATATTTATGCAAAGCTAAAATCTGAAAACAAAGGAGAATGCAGTTACGAAGACGCGTCATTAATTAATTCTGCCTTCTCTCTTCACAGATGCTGCCGGATCGACTGAGCTTCTCCTGCAATTTCTGTTTTTGCAAAAAAAAATAAAATTTGAGACAAAGAAGGATACACTTCCAAAAAGAGGATCGAAACGTGAACTCTGTTTTCTCCACAGAGGTGCTACCAGGCCTGCTAAGTTTCTCCAGCAATTTCTATTTAATTTTTTGTTGCAAATTAATTCTTTATTTGCAGGGCTGACTGTGATGAAGGGAGAGGCTTTCCATTTGTGTGTGTCGATTTGTGTAAAATGTAATAACTGTCTGGGGAGTAGGAGGGGAACTGCTTCCATCAGCCGCTTACATGATGGTAATGTCGATTGGACAATTGCAATCGACTGAACTCGATTTATTTTACCACCCCGGCAATCGATGGCATTTAGAGAGTACAGGTTGCTTGTCTGTAAGATACAGGATGAACACTGGAGCCCTGGGAATTAAACGCAACATCCAGCAAAGCAGATAAATCATATGCTAATGGAAATACCAAAGTAACAGTCGCAAATTTGCATTAACAAAGGAAAAAGACAATCTGAATATGTTTCGAGCGGTAATTTTGTTTTTGCATCGTAGGTTGCGTTTTCAAAATGCCGTAAAACATGCAGACACACGGATGTATCGAAGGATGTGCAACCTCACTCGCATTGTGGGAAGGCTTCGTCTCTCTGCTCCTGAAGGGTCTTTTTTTTTTAATTTGCAAAATATAACATTTAGAAAAACGACTTGCTGTAGATTGCTTTACGCTTTGACTCGTGTGTTCACCAGCAACACTGTCAAAAATACCTATAAGAACAATTCATCTGCACAAAGTCTAGAACGGGAATACTTGGAGAGAGCATGACAATAGTGTAGGAGTTCACACCACTAGCGTGGTCCAGATACGGAAATTTAATTTAATTTAATTTACATAATTAGTGAAATTACAAACACCACCTTCTACATTCTGGTATTTTTCTAAATTGTCAGCCAGAAAAAATTATGATGACACTTACAATATCATTACACCAGATCATTATTACTTCAATTATTACCTTTAGTCCTAACACACCTATGCCATTTCTCTATCCCTGGGCTATTCAGTTTAAAAATACATTTTTTTTAATGCATTAAGAATTCCTTTTCTGTAATTCAAGCTACATGCATTGAGACGTCATTGACAAGAGTGTGAATTACAAAGTTGTGGGTTTTACAGTTACTAATGTTACTGAACTGAAAATGGCGGGCTGGGACTTGGCCATTTTGAGATGTTTAGTCCTTTATTGCACATATGTCTCGAAGCAAGGGCAGTCTTCTGCCGTACTCCCTGAGATTTGCTTCAAACTGGATCATTACAGCCTAGAAAAAGATTTCCACCCATTTATGTTTAGATTGGCGCCAAACTATCTGTGTTGAGGTAAAATAACCGCTGTCACATGATCTTTATTCCTAGACAGTTAAAGGAATTCATCTTCAGCTTGAGGTAGGAAGATTTGGAACATTTGGATCAGTGGTGCTTCTGATAACAGTTATGGATATGACTCAATGTTTTTCTATTGTGTTTCAGTACTGGGGCTATTAAATCCAATGGGGTTCTAGTACCTACCGTCTAGCTAAACAACCAAGAAGGTAGTATCCAGAAGGTGTGCAAGGATTGTGTAAAATGAGTCTCTCCCACTCCATGGGAAAAATCACATGTCTCTGTATAACAGCTCACCATATACACTTGAGATTGCATCTGGAATGAAGTTTGTGTTCTACTTTATGGCATGGTAAATTGAATCTCCAACATTGGTGTATCATCACTATTTAACCTTGTTTTAGCCACTCCAGCGTTTTGCATTTTGTTTGCTTAATGTTTGCACATAGCTGTAAGGAAACAATAATAAAAGCAAAATATGACGCTCAGTGGTTAGTACTGCTGCCTCACAGCGGCAGGCACCTGGGTTCGATTCCAGCCTTGGGTGACTGTGTGGAGTTTGCATATTCTCCCCGTGTCTGCGTGAGTAGAAACTGCTGGGTCCTGCGGTTTCCTCCCACAGTCCAATGATGTGCAGGTTCGATGGATTGGCCATACTAAATTGCCCATAGTGTCCCAGGGATGTTGCAGGCTAGGTGGATTAGCCATGGGAAATGCAGGGTTACAGGGATGGGGTGGGACTGGATGGGATGCTGTTCAGAGGTTTGGTGTGGACTTGATAGGCCAAACAGCCTGGTTCCACTCTGTAGGAATTGTGTGTTACTGAGGATGCTTGAGAGCTGAATTAAAACGGAAAATGCTGGAGGTCTGGCGGCATCTGGAGTGAGAAGCTTGAGTTAATGTTTCGAGTCCAATGATTCTTCTTCAGAACTGCAAAAATCTCAGGCTAGATTAAACTGTTCATAGTCACTGTTCTATTTACCTGAGCTGAGTGCTTTATCATGTGTTTCAAGCCAACACTGATGCCTACACATTAAGATAGCAGTCTGGAGAATCCCGAGTTGTGGGTGTCTGCATATACGTTATCCTTCAGGCTTCCCTTCCTCAATTTTTTTTCTGTCTCTCTACTTCTTTCTGTTCTTTAACACCCTCTTTAAAACCTTTCATTCTGAGGGGAGGTGAAAGCCGAGTGATATTGTCACTAGATTATTCATTCAGAAACTCAGCTAATGTTCTGGGGATCTGGGTTATAATCCCGCCAAGGCAGATGTTAGAATTTGAATTTAATGATTTTTTAAAAAGTCTGGGATTAAGAATTTATTGATGACCATGAAACCTTGGCTGATAATGGGAAAAACCCATCTGGTTCATTAATGCCCTTTCAGGAATTAAACTGCCATACTTAACCTGGTCTGGCCTACAAGTGACTCTAGACCCACAGCAATGTGATTGACTCTTAACTGCCCTCTAAACAGCCTAGCAAGCCGCTCAGTTCAAATACAGTTAGGGATAGGCAATAACTACTGGCCTGCCAGTAACACCATGTCCCACAGGTGAATTACGAAAAGAAATTAACTAAGCTATAAATCATGGCTCCTGATATCTCCTTATTCTTGTTATCTGATTATGTTTCTGCAAATGTAGGAGAATGTTTTCCTATGTTAAACGCATTATATAAATGAAAATTATTGTCGATCACTTTTTAAAACTTTGAGCTTGTTTCTGAAAATATCGATGTGTTGACTAGACACATCTTCTGACTGAGTCATGCGTCTCGCAGGTGGCTTCACATAGACAGTGGAACTTGTTAAATAGGTGTCAAATTATTTTCATGTTATCTATCACAGTGACAGAAATTACCAAACAGGAATGAGTTCTCTTTGCAGTTATTCCTTCAAAAATATTTTAAGAATGTTGGATCCCTTTTGTATTAAGTATTTTGTTATTCCATTGTTTCTTTTCAAGACAGGGAAAAGCTGAAATTGGTATCAACAGATTACATTAGTGTCTAAAAATAGTATTTCTAAAGTGAGGTTGCAGAATGTACTCCTGCACTGTAGGGATCAAATTTCTGTTTTCAGAACATTCGTCACTGAGTTTGTTCCATCATTTTATTTGCCATGAAGCTGGAAAGATATAAACAAAATAAACTTTGGCCTTTATTCATTTTGACTTATTCGACAAGTTGAGTTTTATTTGGATGAAGATTGCACATATTGCCAGCTAAATAGGATCTCAAGATTTGTGAATGCATGTATAGTGGCTCAGTAAAACCATAGGGAGATGGGAGTGCTTGAGTACATACTTGGGATTTGCTAACTTGTAGTTCGAAATTTCTGAAATGTCTACAAATCTATGGTAGTGACATCTTTTAATTGTTAACTTTAGGCAGAAAAAAGGTGGCTAATTGAAACTTCCTTCATGTTATGACGTGCATATATGTGAAGTTAAATTCCTTCTATTGATCACTTTAGAATTTCCCTAAAACAGAAGCAACCGGGATTCTTAAAATATGAAACAGTGCTGGAAAAACTCAGCTGGTCCAGTAGTATCTGTGGAGAGAGAAACAGAGTTAATGTTTGGCGTGAAATATCAGTGTTCTTCAGAAACCCCAATGAGAATGTCCAATTGTGTATATTTTGCTTCAACTGATGGCAGAAGCAATTTTATTGCCTGTTGCAGCAGAAAATTAGTTGTTAATTGAACAAAGTTTTAAGTGAGTTTTTCACTTTAAGGCCTACACAGAGCTAATCTTTAGGATGTGTTGATTCAACTCAGCTCATACACTTAACGCTGCATCTAAAGATTTTGAGTTCAAGAGTTCAATGTATTATGGAAGGAATGGTAGATTGGTCAAAATTATTCCCCTGAGACATACTGGCAATGTTCTTATTGCAGAATGACTAAGGACTGTTAACCTGAAGCTGCCGAGATCACAAGCCTTAATTCCTGATAGATGCTATACCAAACAAGTGTCCTTGCCAGTGATGTCTAGAAGAGATGGGGTAGGTGGCAGGAAGGGCAAATAATCGGGCAGGTTTTCACCTGTGAGATAACTGCCCCTTTTCTGCCACCTGGGGAATTAAGTACTGGGCAGGAAGACTAATGGCAACCTTCCCTACCTAAAGTGGACTAAGGTCCTTAAGTGTTCAATTAACAAGCACATTAATGAGCAGGTGAGAAAATGGCGAACCTTTTTGACCACTACAACAGTGGCAGATGCTGCTGGGTTGAAGGTGGCAGCGTAGATTTGCCCAAATTTTGGGGTGATGGGGTTGGATTGAGGAAGGTCAGGAGTGTGGATGCTGAAAGCTGGTACCTCCAACACTACCCCATCCACCACGACCAACAACTCATGATCCCCTGCCTGAAACATGCCACTTAGCTTCATGCTGCTCCTTTTCTTTCACTGCGCTATATACAGCCAGTCGCTGGCGAAAGCCTGAAGTTGCACAGCGGCTCACAGTAACTGCCTGCCTCTGATTACCAGCAGCTCCAACTGGGAAATCACTCTCCCCAGGATTGACTGACCAAGAAACTCGATCGGTCACACTGCTTGGCATGTGATCTGAAAGGCTTTCTCATTGGTGGGGTTGAGAGATATCTCACTCCTAAAGCCAACCAGCCTCATAATCGCCTTAAAAAACAGGGGTTTGCCAGCCACGATTTCATAAAATTGGCCTTGAGATATTTTAAGATGTTCTAACATGGTAATGATAAAAACAATTTGCAATTAATAGTACCTTTAATCTAATAACATGTCCAAATGTTCTCCATAGACATATATTGGAATTGGACAGCTGGCTTAAACCTTGAACAAAGATATTAAGGATTATCCTAAAGGAGGATAGAGAGTTAGAGAGACTTAGGAGTGGAATTTGATAGCTTAGCGTTTAAAGAGTCGAAGACATACCTACCAATTATGAAGTGATTAAAACAGAGATCTGCATGAGCATAAGTCAGAGAGAGTGGTAAGGCAGAAGAAGATTATAGACAGTGATGATCAAAAACATAGAGGAATTTGAAAATAGAAAGGAGTCTTTTTTTTAAATTGTGAAGTTGCCAGGCCGGGTGTGAATATTGCTCAGTGAGGTCATTCAGGGAATGATTGGTTTATTGGACACAGTGTGAGTTAGGGAATGGGCAGCAGAGTTTTGAATGATTTCTGCTTTACAAGATACCAGCCCAGCCAGGAAAGTGTTTGAAAGCCTAAATCTAGAGGTAAAATAAGGCAGCTGAGGGAGGAGTGTAAGACCAGCAGTGTTATGATGATTGAAGTAAGCAGTAGCGATGGCGGGTAGAAATGGCGCTGAATATTCAGCCCATGCTGAGGTGAGAAAAGGAGGCAGATGAAGGCAAAATATACTGGTATCAGCTGGCATTTCAGTTTTGTGACACTGTTCCGGTGCAGAGAATGTTTACCAGGGCAGCAAGCCATCTGCTCCTCAATTAAGGGCAATTACATTTGTTAAAAAGCTCATTACGAACTCCATAAACCCTGCCCCTGGTAACCAGGAGATCCAGTTCAAATCCTACTTGCCACTGAGATGTGTTGCACAGTACCATGTCTGACCAGGTTAATTTTAAAAAAATAGCTGATGAAAGGTGGATATTGAAAATTTTGCAGGTTGCATGGATTGCACATGCTGTTTGGGGCAAAGCATTTATAGATACAAAGTAAGGAACTATTCATGGCAGAATTACCACAGCCCTTTGAAAGTGTCGCCAGTACAATGGAGACTTAATCTTTGGGAAACACATACCCTTGGCACTGAAGAAGGTTTGCTGAAGCTGAAAACTTTATTCTGCTTTCCCTCCACAGTTCTGCCAGACCTGCTGATTTTCTCCAGCAATTTCCATTTGTGATTCAGTTTTCCAGCATCCACAGTTCTTTGTTTTATTTAATGGTTAATCATTGCCACTTCTCTTCCAAATGTGCTCACCTTGAAGAAGTTTTGTTCCCCTCTCTCTGAAAGGATTTCTGTTGTAATTCTTTCTTCTTGTTCACCATCATCCCTCTCATTGTCGTTCCGTTCTGACGAAAGGTCACTGAACTCTGTTTCTCCCCTCAGATGCTGCCCGCCCTACTCACTTTCTCCAGCAATTTCTATTTTTGCCCTTGGCACTGCACGGGTGGCAGGGAAAGTGCGTAGTCAGTGCTTGAACAATGCAGGAAGTCAGGACTTGCCAGCATCATGTGTAGAAGAGCAGCAGGCAAGGCAGCCAAAGGGCAGTAGGCTGGCCACCTGTCCACGCCTGACCATGCAGCAACAAGTGGGGACGTGACCCTCAGATTTTGAGATCAGTGGCAATGTACAACAGCCCACTCCACAGGAAGGGTGGAATTCTGAGCAGTAGGAGGACGCAGGAGAAGAAAGAGAAGGCAATGGAGGCTATACTTTCTGCATTGGGTTTACCACTGAAGACAGAGATACCTGGAGGAGTCCAAGACAGGAGAGTGCAACTTTCCAGACAGATTGTAACAGACATGTGTCATTTCATTGCTGAAGGCATCAGATCTTGCGATACTGGTTGCTACTACCTGCCTGTAGATGTCAAAGTCACTGTGGGTTTCAACGTTTTTGCTTCCTCCAAATGGATAGTTCCAGACATACAAATCAGAGGACAGCAGGCTATTCAGCCCCTTGAGTCTGTTCCATCATTCAATAAAATCTCACCGGCAGTGAGAGTGAAAATAGGCAGCCCCGAGGCGGTGAGAGTGGGAACAGGCAGCCCCGAAGCGGTGAGAGAGGGAACAGGCAGCCCCGAGGCGGTGAGAGAGGGAAC